GATGATATGCGTTATCAGATTATCATTTTATTGCTAATCGTATGGTGGTTCAGTTCATTTGAACGTTTGGAGCACATGTGATTCTATTGTAGTTATTCTGGTGGTTATCTCGGGTGTTTTTGTTTGTTAATGTGTACTGTTTTATTGGGAACACTGCTTCGTATTAATCGTGCCATACAATCACACTAGGAATGTAGCGGCACGCCGAGCGGGAAGCATGGCCTGTCCAGATTAATCGATGTGTTTATCAACGATCTACCAAGAAGATGGTCGATTTACGATCTACATGTGAACGATAAGAACTGTGATATTTCGACTAAGACCGTGTCTCAAGAATTTGGACTGTAAAATAATCTGTATAGTTTTTGTTTTATTAAAGAGTGATTGAGAGTTGAATATACGAACATGCGGTTCGTCGTTTAACTGATATTAAACGGTACTGATGTGTAACGGCACGTTTTAAACTGATGTAGTGAACTGATAAACTTCGTAACTGTGGCAACCTTTCTTTAGTTCGTGTCACTAAATTACGGAAGAGATTCCTGGCGTCAGGAGGCGTCCGTTGACGCCTTTCTAACGGATGCGTTCGGTCATGAACTGACTTGATAATATATTACTTAAGCGGTACATGCTTGAAAGATTAAGATAGCCGTCACATTGTATTGACCTGGTAAAACAACCAATCGCTTATTAGCTTGTCAGTTTTCGATAGATCTTTTGAAGAACAGATTTCAATACCCTCCTAGAACGAGCCAGGAAAATTTCAACATATACGACGATGGGCCAGAGTAGATCAGTTCTTTACCATCGATACCGACACTCTTTACTTCAAAAAGAAAATTTATTTTAAAAGTTAGACTTAGCTTCACTACAGCTGCGACTGCTTCGTCTATTAAAATCACTTGTTTGCTTGAATCGCAAGTTAACCAAGAATTTAAAAGCAAAGAAAATACCACAAAAATTCACCATATCTTTATAAGAGAAAACGTTTCGGAGTCCAGCTCCATCGTCAGTTCAAACCACAAAATTCTGTTCAGAAAAAGTTCAGTCCTAGAAACACAAATAAATCAATTAGTAAAGTAAATGCACTAAAAATAAATAGATAAGACATGAAAATAATGCTAGTAAACGTAAACGGCCTATCTATTTACTATTTCAAGAGGAAAGGAGCTAAAAGCGGCATTCAGACTAGGCTTCTGTTTGAATATATACAGGGATTCTAAAATTCGTAGATCACTAACACCGGATGCGGAAGCTAGAATTTTGAAATCACTATCAGATACAGAGGTGTTGCACTGCTCGGCATGAACACGTACAGCA